ACATCAGTGGATTTCCTTCTTCCTGTAAATCAACAAGCGAAACTACCACTTTTTTGGGTGTTTGCCTTTACTCTATTGATGTAACCACTGGAAGGACATGGAAGGACTATCCCAACTGGTTGTTTTTTGCCACGGGTTGTTCTGACCCCTTTCACAAATGCGAATGCGCTTCGCTTGAAGTCAATTTAAGATATTTAGGTCTATATCAATGGGGGAATTGTTGAGGTCAATTTAGTAATCGTTGCACTTTGCAATGCTGGACTTGGCGGTTGTTGGCCAGGGCCCTCTGCCTTGTCTGGGGAAGTCTTGAGTCGCGCCTTTGGCGGCTCGGCTGGAAAATCCCCGAACGACGGAGGAGGTTTGAATGATAATGAGAAATCCCATGTATTTCATTGTTCTGGTCTCATAAGTTCTCATATTTTTTAAAGGAACATCACACCTTTCCTAAAGGGGGACACAAAGTTGTGATCCACGCTGGTGTTTTTTCGGAAGCCAAGGGGGAAAAGGGTCCAATGGCGGACAACGAGCAAAGGCAGCCACGGAAAGAAAGGGAAAGAATGAAAACAAAGCAAAAGAAGGCGAAAACAAGCAAACGACGGAATGGAAAGCAAGACGGACCTGGAAAGACTCAAACCTTCAAAGGAAGTGCTTCAAGTCTGCAAGACGTTGAAAGAGTACGCTCCACTCATTGGGCAACAAGACCTTGCATCAAGTTAAGTATTGCTTCTCTTTGTTGCAAGAGCATAAAAGTAAACACAGCCATGAGTGCGCTGAATGGATTGTCACGTGGTCCCGTTTTTCGGTTGATGGTTAATCACTACAGACTATACTATCCTATTTGTATGTCTCTAGATCTCTATCTTCGATGGTTAATTAATCACCTATTTTTTCATGATTCATATCACCAAATTAGCTCCTTGCCTGCTTACACCCCCTCATGCGCCTAAGGTTTGGCCTTGGACAGCAGCGTCTCCACTCTGCCCTCTGGCACAGCTTGCGCCGCGACCATGGCGCCTGGCGAGATTCCAGAGGCGGTGGGAGTTGTCGCATCTTTTGCTGTAAAAAGTTGGGATTTTTGTTGGAGAATTCACTATGAACATCCAGATTTGTGATAAGTTGGGATTAGATGTTAATAGTTAATCAATCCGAATTATTGTTGGTGAACTCCTGTTGGGAATGTGCATTATTGCCATGTGAACAAACATCTTCAAGGGAAGCAAACAATTGTGCTTTCCTCATCCAAAATGGTTGTTTACCAGCCAAAAAAAGAGAGTTTAGCCAAACCAGTGGTGGGTGCATCAAAAAAGGTTCCACCCGTCAAGCATCGGGGGTTCAATAAAGAAGCATAGGCATTTTGCCAACAATAATGGCTTTTCAAGAGTTGAAAATAAAGGAACCTGGGCAGATAAACATCCATTTGCTAGCTCTTTCAGTGCAGCTAGGTGTAAACATGCAAAACTAGGCCAGGATTTTTATCCATAGCATCCATGGTCCAATGGTTCATTCTTCATCAAAAAAACATCAAGTTGCGTCCTTATCATTGGTGATGTGCGGTGGCTGTCCTGCTGAGCCTGCATTTCTGCTGAGTGTGAGGCTCCGATACAGGAGACACCCACGGAAACGCCCAGAACTCTGGAGACACCTAGAACGCTGGGAGCCCAGAGCGGGGCCAGCTGATTTTCCAAGTGGCATTGCCGTTGCCATTCTGCAGCACCGGAAGGTTACCATTACAATCATCAAATTCCCAACCCACAGCATTATTGGTGGTACCTCATTGACTTTCAAACCTCTTGCCACCACATTTGCTACTGTAACCAGCCGTCTAAGGAGTGGTATGAGACCCTTGCAGCGACGGGTGTGGGCTCCAAATCTTGGGGCTTCCGCCAAGTTATGCATCCAGAATCGGGCGCTTCGGGTTTCAACAGCTCATCTGATTGACTGAGACTCCGGTTCGCGACTCCGTAGCTTTCCTGTTGGGCCGAGCACCGGACTCGCAGGGGGACCCGTTGGGCCAACGTTGGGAGCTCCGGTCCTTGATTCTTGGGGTTATCCTGTTGGTTTCGGGTCTTTTGCTGATTTGCCATTTGGTAAGTGGGATGTACAGCAGAGATACAGAAGGGGTGTTTCAAAATGTTTCAAATCCCTGAATTGGAAGTGGAACATTTGTCAATCATTGAACATGAAAGACAGAACCAAAACACAGGATTTAACCCACAAAAATGGGGATTCAATGGACAGCCATGGGGATAGTATCCGCGGGGATACAAAGAATGCACAGCATTAAGACGTGGGATGTGAGGATATGAGCAATAAACTCATGGGCAAGGAAGCGTAGAAGGGAACCAAAAATTGGAAGAAAAACAGCACAGCCGCGAAAATACCCAAGGACGCCGAATCTGACATGTGCATCTATCACTATCTTCCGCCCGAGGCTTCAGCCTCCGCTAGAGCCAAGCACTGAGGGGTAATCTGGGTGTCGGACTGGCAGTAGAAAACACCACACATGGATGGTCAAATGGATGGTCATTTTTTGTAACGATCCAGGGTGATCCTGTTGGCTGGGGATGATGACACCAAAGTGGGTGCAGCCAATCGATGCCAATCGACCCAGAGTTTTTCTCACATTTTTTTCCCACACTACATAAATCATTATATCTTGATTTTTGGGTAGATCTTTTTGAGCTGTTGCTATTTGTTTGGTTTAGTTTTTTTTTTTTCCCAACATGATACCGTAGTTGGATCGGAATTTCTGCCAGGAAGGTGGAAGTCAATGCCAAATAGATGATGACGATGATGTTTCTGGTTCGTGCTTCCGAAGCAGTTGATGAGAGCATTATCATGCAAGTATCTACTGCATCGAGTTTATCCTAGCTTTTGTTGGTTCTATTCCCTGACACATCAACACTAAAAATTGGCTTCTGTTGCGCATCAGCTTCGTACGATGTAAAGCCAGAGCCCCTCTTGGATGATTCTAAATTCTCATAGAATCCATTTGGATATTTTGGAGGCCTTTCCATTGATATCACCTGCTTGGGACCAAACCTCCACTGCTTCATCTCCGAGGCTCAAGGCGTTAGAACTGGCGACTCCCAGAGGTCTGGTGGTCACCCGTTTTTTTCCACTGCTCGATCTGCCCGTTCAACGGGTACATCCCCAGGGGCCGTTCGCGGCTCCAGCTCCAGGCCTTCGCGAGATGCGAAGTTCCACGAAGACTTCGCATGATCTGCTGGCCCTCGAAGGGGCCGATGCCATGGACGATCGATATACCAGGCACCGGGGATTCGTAGGGATAGCGGGGATTGGGCTGTAGAAGTGGTGGGTTTGGGGCATTCTGACAGTGCACTTTTTTTTTGGGGGGGTTTGTTGATAAGTGTCACTCGGTCAACGCAGGAGCACTGGGTGGCATATTTTGTGCAAATCTCTCAATCGCCGTACAGTATTGAGGTGACCTGTGGAATTTGTCCAGGATTCGTTCACTTGTTGCAGGAAGAGAGATCGCGTGACCGAATATTTGGAGATCCTGAACCAACAGTCTCATATTGCCAGCATCTGAGAACTCTGCGACCTTTGATTCTGGTGTCCAGTGAAGGGTGGGAAGGAGTGCATTCAGTAGTTGTCGCCAGTTTGGAGGCTCCTCTCTTTTGTATAATTAGTGACTGTGGTTGACTGTGAAGTATGATAACATGGGTTTGTCCAAAGACATCCCAAACATGAGAATTTCAATGGGTCAGGTGGTTTGAATCATGGCATTTTTGGGTACGTTCAGATGGTCTAATGCGAAATTCCAGCTATTGGAATAGTCCTAGGACTCCCTGCCTTTGCAAATTGGGATAGCTTAGCTCAGCCATCCATGGACACTGAATATCTGATCATTTGGATTGGACTAATATCCCGAGATATCTCCATTACATCACACCTTTCTATATTGGGAAAATACCGATAAATCGAGGTTCGGAAGAAGTGATCCTGCCAGACCAGACCAGGTGAGGGGCGCTCCGAACCGTTTTGGGTCGTTTTTTTATGGCAACAGCTTCTGCCACAAGGGAACGGTGTACTGTGGTAGGAATTGTTGGGTGAATTCACTTCACAATCATTATTTTTGATCTTAAAGTGTCATTTCTGCAGATTTTCGTGGCAGATTTTGCAACCGCAGTCGCTCTCGACAGTTACTGTCGCAAGATGCACTGCAGCACAGCTTTTTGATGGCAAACACTGGCGACTGAACAGGACTTTTAGTTCCGCAATCAAGCCGTATTTTCCTTTGTGAGACTCATCCGCCAATAGCATTTGCTTGCCTGGTAGCTGTGAAAACCGTTTTTGTGATGAAGACAGGCGGGTCTTCGTCATTATTTGGGGTTGCAGGGAGCCATTCACAAAGTGAGAGGCTCTGAAATCGATTACAACCAGGGAATCTCCAAGGCGATTTCTTGCCAAGTTGCCACGTTCTTGAGACTTCAACATGTCACAAACGGGTCTGTTTTGTTAGGCAAAGCCTTGGGAAAATGACAAGTCCATAATCTGACCTTTCGATACTTTTTGAAAGTCCTTTGGAGATGCAGAGTTTTGGTGTAGATTGCCATCCTGAAAGGATGTGGAGGCAAAGTCACCCTGCGACTTCCTGGGAGTCGGGCTGATGGTCTGATTTTGGTGATGATTCGTTTGGGGTAGCGGTGCACTTCTTTGGGTGGTAGTTATATTATGTTATATGTCCTGATATACATATGTCGTTTCCCTTATTTGGGATATTTGGGATGATGACTGGATGACCCCCAGTTGTGAATCATTCTTTTCTGGAGATTGATAGCAGTTCTCTGAATCGACCGTGTGCGCGCTGCCAACAGCTCATGCTGAAGTGTCATTCAGCGATCGCAGTCTACATAGGGATGCCTAGGGCCTAGGAAGAATTCTACGGAAATTCAAAGTTCACCGATCTCTTGAGATTTTAGGACAAAATCTATAGCTGCACATGTTTGTTATGCATTTCTCCTGTTAAGTTCGGGGATAAACCGCGATCACTTGATTTCTGTCTCTGCTCGCAATGGTGCGGCCTCCAGGAAAAGCTGCGAGGCAGCGATGAACCTTGCGCGAGAGTTCAGGATGAGCATCTGCAAGAAACCTTTTTCCCTGGAAAAAACAACCCATAAATCCCATAAATTACTTTTTTTTTGCCCGTTGAAGCCTCCGCAGCTGGGAGGTGCTGGGGACTTCTCCTCGTTGCAGTGCTGTGCAATCTGCAGGCCTTTGTGGGTGTGACCAAGAGCTGCTTGGCATGCACCAGGGATGGTGAGTGAACATCTCTAGAGTTTGACCTTGTCATTGTAGATGTTCCTAATGTGAATTCCTGGATGTTCCAGTCTTATCTTTCAACTGCTCCAAGATGGACATATTAGAAATGAGGACAATTCTGCTTGGCGCCCGAGGTATAGTACCGACAATTACCAGTGAGAAGTGGGGCGTTCCAGCACTAGCCATAGGGTGATTTTCCGAATCAGCTGACATCCACCACCAAGTATCTGTGGATCTGAGGTCCCTCAAGGCCGCGAGTGGCAGCTGCGGCAGAGCGCACAGTGGCAGAGGACAAGGAGATCTCCGACAAGCTGGATGAGGTCGGGTTGGGGGTCAGGTTATGGTGAAAATGGTACCATCTGACGGTGTTGGGATCTGAGACAATGGAAAACAGTTGGGTCATTCATTTGGAGCTCTGTAATACCCTGAAATAGGGTGTAGTTACCGTAGTTATAGCATAGTATTGTTGGCTTTCATATGACAGGTGTGAAATAGAGATTCAACCTGTTTGTGGTGACGAGCTGCTGCAGGTCTTGAGGAAAAAATTGAAAAATGAGGACGGCACGGAGAAGAGTGGCCTGAGCGAATCAGCACGAAAGGCTGTGGACAAAGTGGCAGGTGTGAAGAGAAGGCAGCTTAAGGCCGAAGCGGCGTCCTGTCGAAAGTTGTAACGAAGCCATTTGGAGCTTTCCATGCGGGTAATCCAAATCATCCAGATTCCAGATTACCCAGAAATGAATAGGATTATCCAAATCATGGATTCCAGATTTTCATGGGAGTTTCCACTCAGTTTCCACCAGACGGGACGATCACCTATCTGGAGGCACCCAAGAAGAAGTCCAGATCGATTGTGAAGAAAAGCTTGGACGAGGCGCAGCGGCGAAGCGGCGAAGCGGTGATGTTGAATAGAGGTGACCAGGTTTAATGGTATATATATATATAATCATATATAATCATATATAAATATATAGTCACATATATGTATAGTATAATCATAAATATATATCTATATATAAATCATATATGCATATATATATATATGTATACATGTATACACACGGATGGTGAAACCATGTTTGTCGTTTTTCCATCTCTTTTTGGATGATGATCCCCACTTGACTGATACGTTTAGCAAAGTGTGGGTGACCTGAGACGCCTGAAAAACGCAGATTCTGCTGGTAGGTCCAGTGAGCTATGCATGTCATATGCAGGGCTTGAAACATGTTCCCACCTTGGGGACTCCATACCATCATCACCTTTGAATGGTTGGGTGAAACTTATTGACACCAGAAAAACACATGGTTTCAGATCCGAAGAAACTCTGGGTCCATTAGTGTATGTCATGTTGGGTCACGATCCTCATATGCTTTGGGGTTCACCTACCACGGCGCCGTAGGTGCTGAAGTCCGCCAGCGAGGATGATGACAAGGGAAATTACCTGCCAGCGAAGCGAGATGTCTACAAGGAGGCAATGGGAGGATCTGAAATTGATGATCATCAATGATAATCATTAATCTATGATTATCATTTGTTGAAAATGATATATGAATTGTCACTATCCTAATCAGTTTCATTATATGAGATTGGGATCTCTTTATTTTTTTTGGTCCGAACATGCTGGACATCCCTAGTTTTTGCCCCAAATCCTCCGCAGCAGGTCGGCATCACAAGGACGGAGGTGGAACGTTATTGGAAGAGAAGGGATGAAAGCAGCAAGAACTTCGTGGACAAATTCGTTGGTGCCATGGCTTTGTACCGCTGAATCCCAAGGGATTCACGCAATTCCATAGTCATCATCCCTACTGACAATTTTTATTGCTATGTTTACCATTCCCAAATGGTAAGTGTTTATGGCATCGGGGGAATTCCACATTAATGTCGGGTGTTGATTAGTGTGGCAATTTTTTGCTATAGTTATCTGTTGAAGGATGGTAGTAGTAGTAGTAGTAGTAGTAGTAGTAGTAGTAGTAGTAGTAGTAGTAATGGTGGTGGTGGTGGTGGTGGTAGAAGTAGTAGTGGTGGTGTTGGTGGTGCTGGGGGTAGTCGTGGTGCGAATGTCATACACCTCTTTCGATGCGTATTCATTGTTTGGTCGCTGGCGGACTCTCAACCAATCACTAATCACTTGCTGCAAGCTACGAGCAAATGTTGCCCCAACAAAACATTAAAAAAAACAAACTTGCTTTTAGCAAAGTCTTCAAGTCTATTTGACTTCACGTGATACTATATCAAATCATACCCACATGCGTGAGCAAAGCGACAGCCATTTAAGTATGACACTTGGATCTAGAGATTTGCTTTTTTTCAGCATGCCATCAATCCCTTTGAGCGCTCCTCCGAACACCTCAAAACTCTTTACAACCTCCTCCAAGACAGTAAGCTGAACTTGCTTGATGATGCTGTAAACTCATCCTATGCCATTCAGCTTGCATTGCCAGCTTGGAATAATTTTCTCCGAATTTTTCAAGTGATTTCAGAGATTTGTGAAAGTGTCTTTTGCTGCATAGCATGTGACACGTTTTGTGCGATTTGAGCAAGTCGTATGCAGTTTAGAGCTTGATTTCCAACTTTCCTGACAGCGCGTTCAGATTTCGAACGCGGAACAGTGATTTCAATCTTTGACAGAGCATTGAGATTTCGAACGCGGAATTCACACAGTGATTTCAATTTTGGAGAAACATTTAGACGTGCGAAAGAGGAATTTATAATCAGCTGCGGTACAGCTTATGAGTTTGAAGCTTCTCAGAAATCGTTTTGTGACGTTTCCACGGTTGAGACTTTTTTGAACATCCTGATGATCTCCTATTGTCTTGCGTTTCCTGGGTCCAAGCAATCTGTGAGATCGAAGTTTTTGAACCGCTTTTGATCACATTTCCAATTTGAGAGCCGTGCAAATTTGCAAGAGTTTTTTTCCGAACTAGAGTAAGCAGACATGACGTCTGAACCGAATGTGAGTTTGGAAACAATTAGAGAATTTGACCGCAACCAAGCTTTCAGCTCTCCCTGTTGCCACAGCATTGTGAACATGCTCAGCCGCATCGTGCTTCCTTTGATCAATGAGATCAGCATTCCGCCAACAACATGTTGGCTCAAGATTAGGAGGCGTAAATTCTGCTAGCACAGTGAGACAAAAAGGGCGTGAGTTGTCAAGCAGAGTTGTCCACATTCTCAGTTGCAATTATCTACTCTTCTGGGGTGATAATTCTCGCATGGTAGCGGAGCCAGTGTGCTCCTAGGAACCCCCCTGAATTGGTTTTCTCCTAGGATTTTCCAGGGTTCAGGATTGACAACAGACAACTGATCTTGACAAGAGATCTTGGAACCTACACCTAGCAGAATCTGATTTTGCAGCCATGGAGCAGCCGGCCAGAGACAGGTCACCAAGAGGCCGTTCTCAAACGAGAAGAGGAGTTTCTTTGCCTGCAACAACCGGATATGCCCCTGGAAGTGCAAACGCCTCCGTCCCCTTTGTCTTCGAGGAGCAACTCAGTCGAGTCCGAATGAGCATGGACACTTTACAAGCAGAAGTTGGCAAGGCAGTTCGAGAACTTGCAGGTCACCAGAAAACTCTTGTTGACACCCTTGAGCGTCAGCAGCATGAGCTGAATGATTTACGAGCCCAAAGAGTTCCAATCCCTCCAAGTGCTTCTCAGTCAGTGGCGGCTGCCAATGAGGATCGCTTCGGTGCCATGGGAGAAACCAGTCCTTTTACTTCTGCACAAGACCCGCCCATCCAATTGCCAGTGAATGCTCAGCAAGGTGCAGGTGGACTTGCATCGGCGATGCCAAATACTGCAGTGAATGCGAGCTCAAGCACTGGACATGGGGTAAAAATTGTCTTACCCGATGGTACGGAGATCCCCTTGGGCGGCCAGTCAAATGCCGCGGGTCCTAAAGTTCCTGGATCCACACAGCTAGATGCGCTGCAGAGAAGCAACAAGTGGCTGCCTAGCATGCCCGTGGTCGAGTCGAATCGGTGGAAAAGCCGAATGGAGGAGATTTTGGGCATGGAACAGTGGCTCGATTCATTTTGCAATTGGCTATCTTTGATTTCAGAGCCATTTTGCACAGAAGTGAAGTTTTCTGCGACTTCTCCGCTGCCAATTGACAAGAAAGATTTGTCAACTGACCAGATTTCCCGAAGCTCCAGGCTCATGGCAATGCTTCGCCAGACCTTCCAGATGACTCCGCGAGCCAAAATCATTCTGCTTGCTTATGTAGAAGGCCCTGGAGATAAGAACGGGTATGAGGCTTTGCGAAGGATTGTCCAAGAATACATGATCAAGACTCGTGCTGAGTTGATGCATTTCCGCACATCTTTGCTTGGCCGAACTTTCAAAGCTCAAACAGTGACAGAGGTAATCAAGCAAATTGAGTTCGAGGAGAGCCGGTACAACAAGCTTGCTCGGATGTTGCCCTCGAATGTACCAGCTTCCGATTTGGCCCTGCTCCCTAGTGATTTGGTGATGGTCCTCATCAAATCCTTGCCTGTTGGTGTGAGGAGGGAATATGTTGTCATGCATAGCCCAAGCCATGACTATGTGCAAATGAAAAATGCCGCTTTGTTGTACGAAGCCAACCAGAGAACTTGGACAGAGATTGCAGGCAGCAGTTCTGCCACCTACATGCATGGAATGTTTGACACGAATGACAAGCCGAAAGGAAAGGGCAAAAGCAAAGATGGTAAGAAAGGAAAGGGGAAAGCAAAAGATTCAAATAAAGGTGCAGCTAAGGGCAATGGTGAAAAGTCAGAGAAGGAAAGGAATGCCATGTGTTTCCGATGTGGTCGCACAGGCCATTTCTCTTCAAATTGTCATGCCAAGAAAGACAAGGATGGCAAGCCGCTTGAAGGGAAGCCCGCTCCAAAGAAAGATGGAAAGGGATCTGGTGAAGAGAAAGGTTCCAGCACAGGTCCTCAGAACAAAGGAAAAGGCAAAGGATCCAAAGGTAAGAAAGTCAATGAAATGCTTGAGCAGCCTGAAGGCGAATCGTGGCCTACCAATGGTCCAGCTGAAAGTCAGGGTTCCAACGGAGATGGCAGCCGTGCGTCAGCTGCGAAGCAAGCAGCAGCCCCTTTGAATCCCATTTTGCCTACTCAGTCTTGGTTTGAAGACACGATCGTGCAGTTTGAGCGAGAGCAGATCACAGAAGAGCAGTTCGATTTGGTCCACGGATCATTTCTCATGGAGGAACAATTTTCTTCTGATTTTGATTTTTCATGTTTTGGAAACCCATCAGATTTGTGGAGTAAAACCAAGCATGTTTGTACCATGTCAGCTGCAGTTTTCATGCCAATGATGCCAGATGTCCCATCAGATTTGCACTGGTGGCTCATTGATTCAGGAGCATCAGCCTCTGTTGTGAGTTCTCGCTTCCTGAAACACTATAAAGTAGTAAAGAATCAAGTGCTGGGACCAGCAACCGGCCCTGGGTTTTCATCGGCAAGCGGTGAGACAATTCATCCAACTTCCCTTGTTTGCTTGAAAGCATTTTTCCGCTTGACGTCCAGAGAAGATCCTTCAGACACCATGTTGAAAGAGTGCTTAGTTTCAGCTTTTGTAGCAGATGTTCCCAATAATGTTTTGTCAGTGGGCAGCTTGCTGCGAAAGGGTTGGTCATTAAGCAGTTCCGGAAGTGAATTGGAAGTGTGCTTTGGAGGATACAATTTGGACTTGGTGACATGGCAGAATGTGCCATGGATTTTTCACGAAGTTGAGACGGTCATGGACTTCTCCGATGATCGCGATTTGCAGAAGACATTTTGGAGCCGTCGGAAAATCCATGATGGTCCGGTGAACACGGTTGAGCATTTGAGCGAAACTGACAAATCCATGTTGATGACAACCAAGAGACAGCCAGATGTTTCATTGAAAGAACTTGACCCCGCTGCTGCATCCTCTTCTAGCCCAGCATATGTTAGTAGTAGGCCCGTTTCCGATAGTGAATCTCCATACCGTGAAAGCCTCAGTGTGGAGCCTAACTCTGTTCCGGATTCGAGCGAGCCTTTTGATTATGAGCCCAATATGATTGTAGACACAAACACAGGATTTGCATCCATTCCTTCAGAAGAGTCTTCAGAGCATCCAGCTGTATTGCGAAAACGAGACTTGAATAAATCCAAGCTTGAACAACACCGCCGTCAAGGCCATTTTCCATTCCATGCAGATTGCCTTTCTTGCCAAGCAGCCAAGTCCACGACTCACCACAGAAGAAAGAAGAAGTCGGTGTTGAGCAGTGAGATGGCATGTGATTTTTTCTTCTTGAACTTGGATAAAGCAAACAAAGAGTCTTTCAAGTATCTAATCATGGTAGATTTGACCACTGGAATGAAAGGCGTGGCCCCTGTCCAGTCGGACATTCGTTTGTCGCACCGATGGATACAGGCCTGGCTTGGCGAATTCAATATGTCCACAGAATGCTCCGAGCCAATTGAAATTATCACGGACGCAGAAGAAGCTGTTTCAAGTTTCATGAAAGGTGCCATCACCCACAGGCCAGCTTCATTTGTCAAAGCGCCGCCGCAAGGTCACCAGACCATTGGTGGAGCAGAGGCTGGAGTCCGAGCCATTAAAGATGCGTTCAACACTCTTCGGCAAGACTTGCGTGAGAATGGCTGTGATGTTTGCGTCAGGAATCAGACAGCTGTGAATGCCGCTTTGGCATATTTATGTCATTGCTCCAATTATTTTTCATGTTACTTAGATACAAAACAAAGTCCAAAGTCACTTGCACTTGGTCGGGAGACGACCCGGAAAACAACCA